TTCATCACATTCTAGCAAGTTTTGTCGTGCATTTTTTGTACTTATTAGCAAGTTTTCTTTCCCCCTTTTTGGATACTGTCCATAAACATTGAGTTCTGTAACTTGTTGTACAAATTGTAATTTTCACTGTCAACCCCAGTGCCAAGTGTAAAGCATTTTGCTGTTCAGTTTTCAGAACTAGATAGTGCAAATAGTATCTTTGCTGTCAAGTTAGTAGCATTGGCACTGTGTCTGTGAGTGCCGACACAATGGTGCATTTTTGCTGCTGCGACTGTGTTTAGAGTCATTTTTATTTGGCAACAATCTTCCAGTTTCTTCACCGAGCAGCTTTATAATGTAATTTTTCATATTGTCTGGTCAAACTGCAGTTGGCCTCAGTTTGGATGCAGTGATCTTAGTTGTTCTTGCTTGCGTGTCAGTAATCATAGGTGTTGTCACTTGTCATAATGAGTCTCTACAGTTCTGACTTTTTAAAGTATCTTGATTATTCATAACAGGAAGTACTCTAATTGTCAGCTTATGAATAATTCAACAATAAGCGGTGATACAATTTTGAATCACTTAACACTGAAGTGATAATGTTTTCAAACTGCATGTATGTTTAAAAATCAGTCCTGTCAAAACTACACAGCATCACTTGAAGAAATGAGTTGTAGTTGTTATAGTGACTCTACCCAATATTGTACAAGTTCTAGAAGAACTGTGTGCCTGTTGCATTTTTTGATCTTCCTCTCCCAGTCGATCTGTGTCGATGTCACTTTCCCCTAGCTTTAGGTTTAAACTTATTCTCAGACTTCTTGTCTAACTTTTCTGCTAACTCTGAGTTCGGTAAAGTGCACAATACAGCCGGGTGGATTTGTCCAAAAACTCTCTTGCACTTGTCAGAGGAATCGATTGGGTAATGCTAATCTGGACTCTATGCTGATGAGAGTTGTCATCGACCTGTCACAAAGGTCCATAAGTGAGATTTTGCCTGACTGAAAAGGCAGCAGGCTGTCAGAGAGGGGGAGAATTTTGTTTTCTTGTCTGCTTGACAATCAAACCTGTTATATTTAAAGACAAGGAGCAATCCCCCGAGGAAAGCTCTATCAAAGTGATTTGACCCATTGAGTGGCGGATTGACACCCAAGCATCGTGTATATGTGTTGATGTGTGTATGTATGCAGATGTTTTGTTAGTTTTCTGTAGTTATTTGTAGTTTGTCCGTATCAAATGAATGATGTGTGTGGAGTCAGTCAGCAAGCTGTGTCACTGTATCTATCCTTTAAGGGTACTATAGGCCAACAATAACAAGGGCCACGAAAGGGAAATGAAAAAAGGCATAATTAGAGGCACAATGAAATCCTAATGCAATTACATGGAGTTCTTTCTGCAGAAAACAACAGGATTAAAGTTTAAATGACTTATTTGCAAAGACAAGCAATATAACAGTCTTCAGCCATGTTAACGGGGTGTGAGGGCACAGAATGCAAAATTCATCATGCATTATTAATAAGTTTTATATTAAAAATAATATATGCACGCTTCTAGCATCTCCCATTACAGAGAGGAATTGGAGCTATTGATTAAACATTTCATGTGTGCAGCTCATCATATGTTTGTTCAAAAACAAAAACAAGAACTAGGAAAACAGATCTTGACAATAGTGTGGCAGATAGTCAGTTTTTACTGTTGTTATCCTGTGGCATATGGAAGACTAAAGTGCAAAAAATTACACAAATACAAACACCTTTTCAGAGATGTTTTTTATCTTCTGCCACTTGCCTGGCAGAAGATGGATCTGGTCTCTCTGTGACCTGCAGGGACAGCAGTCTAAGCAGAGAAGCCCAAACCTCCCTCTACCCGGACTACCTCTTTGTCCTCTCCCGAGGAGACAACAAGGCATTTCTAGCCAGCTGAGACATATAATCATCTCTCCAGTGTGTCCTGGGTCTGCCCCATGGCCTCCTCCCAGTAGAACATGCTCAAAACACCTCAGTTAGGAGGTGTCCCAGGAGGCATCCTAGCCATACCTAAACCACCTCAACTGCCTGCCAGTTTTTTGTAAGCACACAGGTTTGTCTGCTAGACACTGACTGCAAAGCACCAGCTACGCATTTAAGGCGAACTTTAAACACACTCAAAAAGCAACAAGAAAAATGAGCAGGCTCCTGCTGGTATCTGTTTCTTTCTTCGTTCAGGTATAATCCAAAGAATTCAAAGGACCAGGGCTCTCTCTGACAACTGCCAGTGTTCCCAGCTATAGCTTGTTACAGTTGGTCAAAAAGACCACAAAAAAGGAAATGTGTTTCTTTCTGAGGCCATCTTTCTAAACTAGCTAATAAAGCATATGGAAACAGAGTAACTAACCACTAAAGACATACTGTATGCTAACTAAGCAGGGCTGTCCATGAACCTTTCACTGTAGCTAACAGCTAGAATTACCACAGATGTTTCACTGGGCCCTGCATTTTTCTGAGGAGATCTTTTTACAGAGATGAATTAACTTGCAATCCACAGCTTATGTTGGGCCCTTACTTTGATGCTGGTTGCTAATTAACCCCAAATCTTTACATCTAATCTAATTTTTAAAAAAATATATAGCCTGCTCAGCGAGCTTTAAAAAAAGCCAGAGGGTTGTTTACAAAACCTTCTACTGTTTGAAAGTTTTTACAAGTGTCCTCTAGCCAAAAAGATTGCCATTATTTTATTTTATTTTTTTAACCAATTTGTTGTGTTGCAGTGTGCAGAATGCTTTTGGCTGAAAGCCACAAAAACAGCACGCTGACAGATTTCACCAAGTAAAGAAGGTAGTCTGCTGCTTTAAATGAAATCCTTTTAACCTAGTTAAAACTTCTCAACCTTGAGGCCCTGATTCATCAGACATAACTTGACCAAGTGTCTTTAGATTTAGACAGGCAATCATGAGGTAATTATCCTAAGTAATGAGAATTCATAAATGGTAGCCTGTCTGTTATCCTGTGTTCTTACGTAAATATCCATTTCATTCCCCTAAACAAGACGTCAGCTAAGCGTTTTTCACCAGAGGGCGATCAAGACAGTCGTTAGTAACAGGTATGTGCAACTCTTGTCTACCTGTAAATAATTCCAAGGCTCATCTCATCTCACATCAAATATTTAAGTGGTTCCCAGAGTAATAAAGTTAGGATTGATTAGAGGACGTGCCCCTGCGTTAGAACGCCTCAGGCGGGATGAAACCAATAAGAGAGGTAATTATAAGAAGAGAAATGGGAGAAAGATCGAGAAGCAAGATACACTTGACTACACTTGTGTCTATCCTTGTGTTGGCATTTCTAGTTAACAAATGTGCAGGCAAGGGATAAGCATTCAGTTTAACTTAGGTACTGTCCCAAACTGCTTTCATATCTGCAAAGCAAGGCAGACTAATTGAATCTATGTAAATATCTTTGCATACCTGGTGAGGTGTGCAGTCAAGCGGCTTGTCATTATTAAATTCAATCCATGTGTGAAGGCTTATGTTCAAAGTCATAAACTGCCTTTAAATTTATTCTATATTTAGACTATATGAATACTATACAGGTAACTCCAAAGCACATGTCTGCCATCTAGTGTTAAGCTCTAGTAATCACACTGTTTCTGAGAGGCTGCTCGTGGCTGTTTCAGTGTGGTAGTGGCTTTCCCAGACATTTCCCCTGAACTTTAAAAGCTGCTTAAAATATATTAATAGTCCAGGAGCAGATATAGTGTCCCTGTAGTTTGAAGCTAAAAGGGTGAAAATACAGGGTAGGTGATATGGTGCAGGAAATCCTGAATAACGTTGAAACAATGAACACATGGCAGAGTGGGTGAGAGAAAAAAAGAAAGCATAAATATGCAGGTGTTGGACATATCATCGTACTTACAAGAAACATGACCAGGACGCACGAATGGGGAAGAAAGTGTATTTAAGTGACTTTGAACATGGTGTGGTTGTTGGCACAAGACACACTCTCCCACATACTTCAGAAACTGCAGGTCTACTGGGATTTTCTGGCGCTAGGGTTTACAGAGAATAGTCTGAAAAGATGAAACATCAAGTGAGCACCAATTCTCTTGCTGATAAGAGGTCAGAAGAGTGCGAGATTGTGGCCAGCTTATAGAAGCTGATAGAAGGGCAATATTAACTCAAATAACCACTCATTGCAACCAATTTGTGCAGAAGAGCATGACTGAAAGCACAGCTCTTAAGCAGATGGGCTTGAGCAGCAGAAGACCAAATCAGGTGTCACAGCTAACATGAAACTGAGACTATAAACTCACCAAAATTAAAGAGTAGGAATGAGGACTCAATTTGTGCTACGACATTTAATCGTAAGGTCAGAATGTGTCAGTAACATAAAAGCACGGATCCATCTTACCCTGCTTTGGCAGTTCAGATGTTATAATGGTGTGGTAAATATTTTCTCTGCATGTATTTGGAACCAACTGAGTATTGTTGTACACAATGGATGTGAAGCTGACAAATCTGCAGGAAGCGCATGATCGTGTTGATACGGACCCAGCACCTTGTTGAATCTGTGCCATGAAGAATTAAAGCATTTGTGAAGGCAACAAGAGGTCCAACCCAGTAATAGCAAGCTATAAATAATAAAGGGGCCAGTGAGTGTACATTTGTAAGAAAAAAAGAGAAAGAAACCCAGTTTATATATTTAAATGACAAATGGTCTGTTATTATCTCAATTTGCACAATCTTAAAAATTTGCTAACAATGTTTCTGAACGTTCGTTATTCATGCTTGAAAATTACTTTAACAAAAGTAATTGTGAAGTTTGACTTCAGTACAGACACCTACACACATGATTTGAAATTATTTTATTATTTAAAGCTTCCCAAAGATATCCAAACGTTCAAAGATTTAGCACAAAGTTGAATTAGCGATAACACATAGGAAAACAACATTCTCAGTATTGCTGCCTTTGAATAGGAATTCACAATTATTTCAAGCACTTGTGAAATGATTCAACATGAAGAGCATCACTATAGAAAATGTTTTAGATGTAACGTGATTTATTTATTCTAATCCTTGATTCACTTATTGCCCAAATTTAAACAGCACAGTGTGACACTAAAACAGCAGAATTGCCTAATCCGTGTCGTGATGCATGTAGTTGCAAAAGTTAGCATTTCTGAAAATACACATAAATAAATAGTTCCTTGATTGAACCTTACAAAGTAGATGCAAACAAGAAGAAGAAATCAAAAAATTCTGATTAAAGTAAACGGGAAGAGCCCAGAGACATTTGTGTATTTCCAGATTTCAGAGGAAAGTGTGGAACACACGGGTTTTCAGACTTTTTGTCCGTGGAATATTCCTTGTAGAGAACTTGAGCAGCTTGTACAAATTTGAGCAGCTTCCAAAGCTGGAAAAGGGGGACCAGTGAGCAGTCCGTTTGTTCCCATGAAGGTTCCAGAAAGAGGACGAGCAGCGCTGGAAAACCTCGATGCTGACTGCGTACTGACCCGGCCCCCACTGAGACACACGCACCAGAGTCACAGAAGAGTCAAAACCACAGGTGTGAGGAGAAACGCCGTGAAACACAGACTCCCCCGGCCTCACAGACGCTCCTCTCTTCCACACCCTTCCGGCCTCCTCTGCTAATCCCATTCCACTGATGTTACAGAGGGCCTGAAGGCACACATCCCCCAGGGCCTCCTTATCAGGAAACTGGAGCAGGATGGCAACAAGACGAGGCACCGCACCTTGGCGTAGTAATAGTTGCTGCAGCTTAGCTGAAGGGGAAAGTGAGCACTGAATATTAAATCAATTTATTGAGCCAACTTTATTTATTTACTTTTACATGGGACTTGTTTTAAACAAATTTCCTCACATTGACAGATTTTTTTGTAAGTCAAACATTTAGCAGAAACCCTGTTGGCTGCTTTCTATTTTCCATAAAGACAATGAATAAGATTGTATTTTCTATTTCAGTACTGTTTAACTAAAAAATAAATAAATCCAGGACATTTGATATATAGCATAAAGCAAATGTAAAATGCAGTGTTGAATTTGATAGAAGCTTCAGACTGTGTTAACTTACCGCTATCATAAGACATGCGTGAGACGGCCCTCGCTGCGTGGAAAAGCAATTCTTGGTCTGAACTGGTCAGGACCGACAACAAAGCTGCAACCAAGCCCGTGTCACCAAAACCTTTACGAATCACAGCTGATGGGAAGAAGAAGAAACCTTGATAAAGTGTATTGATAAATAATATACAGTAAAGAAAGAAGACTTTGTACTAGACTAATAACACTTGAAGCAACAGAGAGAGAAAGCTTTCGGGTTCACCAGCAAACCTATAGATTAACATTATACTTTATTTGTATTAAATAATAAACTGTACATAGATAAAGAACAATATAAGCATTGATTACTTACATTCCCTGGCAAGTTCAGCCACTAGTTTTGCAGTCAGCACACTCAGAGGCCCTCTGCTTCTCAGGCTCAGAGCAAGGATTGGCAAGATCCCACTGATCACCACCTGCTCAGCAGCACCTTTCTCTGGACACAAGTGGAATTGCATATTTAAAAATAATTAATATTTTTGACACTACCAATACTTGTTGGATTCCCTTTATATAGCCTTAGAAGAGTTTGTCTCTTAAGAGACTGCATAGACTATATGTCAAGTTACCTGAACTGAATCTTGTAATCTGTTTTTTTGCGTGACCTCTCTGACGCTTAATTCCCTCTGCCGCCTTCTTATCCTGCTGTTGACTTGCTGGGAGACACAAATATAGCTTAACCTCTTCTTAGTGCTTACAACTGCCTTGCACATCTCTCTTCATGGGGCCATTTCTTATCAGTGTGGTTTTGCGGCCTATGATATAGGTGCTGTTAAATATTCCTACATGTTCGTATACATTGCATGCACCTGTGACATTAACCCCTCATTAGATTTACATCACACACAAAAAACAAACAAAAGCCATCAAATATTTTATATTGCTTTGCATAGTGTTATACCTAAAGGAACTTACTCTTCTCCTTAATGCTGGCCATCACTGTGTTCAAATGGGGTTTAAGCTCATCTTCAATGAGCTCCACACCGAGGACTCTGATAGCGCCTAAGGCATTGTTTAAGTTGTCTGCAGGGGCAATCAGGAAAATGGAAATATTAAGAATTATAAAAGGATGGCATGAGAAATATGAATGTTACAAAGAGCTGGGCAGGGCATGAAACAAAGCACGACACAAGAGAAATAATGTTTTACTGCACTTTGAACAGTAAATATAAGAACATGAAAAAGGTGCTCCTCGTGTAAAACCTCCACACACAAAATCTAGATGTCAGCTTCTTTCTTGTTTACATTCAACTGATCAGCATTTTTTTAAGTACATGTTGAACCATGTCATCCTATGAGAAAAGCTCTTTGAAGCTAAACTTGTGCCCGGTGCTGCTTTGAGTCACATGTTTAGCAGTTATACTGTTTACTGTTTATTAGCATTCTGTTTGTTAATGCTGTTACACAGAAAGAGAAAGCCAAGGATTAGCTTAAAGCAGGAGCGTCAAACTCATTTTACATCAAGGGGCAGACCAGTGAAACCACTGCCTACAGTAATGACCTAAAGAATTCCTCCAATTGGTTCTGTCTTTCTTTACTTAGAAGTCTATAGACAAAAAAAAGTACAATTTAACAATATGTCTCAGCTTTTCTGCGTTATAAAGAAATGCTGCTGTATTAAATGTTTTTTAAATCCATCAACAAGACTCACTGGGCGAGTAGTAATAATAAAAAAGCTTTTATTTTTCTAAAGTAATGGTTCATCTGTTACTTACTCTTACTTACGGTCTTTGTCAGTTAGAAGACAAAATAAATGTAAAATAAAAAGTAAAATAAATGAAAATACAGTTTATGCTCTTCTTCTTTAAAATTTCTATATTTTTACAGAGTTATCCAATAGGCCAGACTGGACCATTTGATGGGCCCTAAGTTTGATATCCCAGACTTAAATAAATCAAACACAACGATTAACTCTGAACAAGCAGTGTCTGCATGGTGATATTTGATAGCAAGCAATACACGTAGGTGAGATTTTGGATGCTAAACTACAAAGATGGACAATTTAAAAGTTAGAGCTAGATGGAAAGTTGTGGGACTGTGATTGGAGAAGGTTAGGGTCAGGTTTGTACCAGATGTACAGGATTCTAGTTAGACCAACAAAGACAGTGCAAAGTTAAAAAGCATAAAACATTTTCCCTAGATACAAAAAAGACATTAAAAATGATGTTTTAAAAAAAAGGTAAGCCAAGTATTAATAAGTAGGATGTATTATATATAAAATTCAGAGAATTAGGGTCAGTTTTGTAAGCTCTCATATATACAATGTCAAAAGTGTTACTGTGTTTTTGTAAAACTGTATGTAAAAGGATGTCTGGACAACTACTGAGGATCAGCATCAAAGCTTACTAATCATAAGAAGATACTCAATAATATAATATAAATCTTTCATAAGAAGAGGTCTGCCATCCTTACCGGTTATAGCCAAACAATTTGGATTTGAAGTTAGTTGAATTTACTAGACAACAGTCAAATTTGTAGAATACTAATATCCAACTGCACGACCTGCTGAACTTGCATTAAAGGTTTTGTTGTGTGTATATATATACACTAGTATCGGTATATAGCCTACATATACTTGTGCAAAGCAGAAAAAACAGAGTTAACGAAACAGTGCTGCAGTAGAAGCTTGGCACACCTCACTGCTAACTAATCAAATCTGATTTACACTCTCTTCTGCTGTGGCCATCAGTTCATGTTTGGATACAAAAAACATTGTTTGTACAGAAAAGATGATCATTCACCAAGTATAAAGCTTCGGTTAGAGTGTTGCTCTTGTAACATAACTGTGATCAGACACATTTCAGCTTTGTTCTCACTGTGAAATCCATTTAAGTGAAGACGTAATGGAGTGAAGTTATCATGCATATAAACTGTATTACCACACAGCAGTGATGTAAATGGAAAAAAAATCGATGCCATTGTTGTTCATGGTTGTGCACTATGAAGCTCAGACTTGAGGGTTGTGCAACTGTCACATTGCACAGGAATTAACAACAAAGACTGGTTGGACTGATGAAAACACATGTTGAAGAACAGGCTGAACATAGCATTGCCAGTTAAAAATTGTTTTATGAAAATTGGAATGGCCCTTTACAAATTCATAGAAACTACAGGAGAGCTTGTTGGTTTGAATCTTATCTTAGTTATAAATACAAAAAAAATAATTTCAAACAAGACAGCTAACATCTTGTTTACCTAAGTGCAGACAGTTTTATGTGAAGCACAAAAACAACAACCACCACCATGCAGGTGCTATTCCCTATTGTTAGTGTTGCAATCACAACAACATCAAAAGCCAATATCTACGATCTGTGACTTCTAACAATTTTCTTTACAGTGTAACATATTCAGTCATGCCACTCTTCTACTCACCATTTGGTGTGTAAGGTTGCAGTCGACTGGATCTGTTTTTGTCCCTCTGGGAATGCATGTGTTTGTGTGAGAGGGGCACATTGGGGTGCCCCATTGTGCTCCGTGCTGCCGTCTCTGGACCAGTCGTACCTATCTTAGATCGACATGTTTCAAAATGCACAGCACTTTTTAAAAGCTGTCGTCTTTTTTCTTTTAGTGCCGTATTTTCGAGTCATTAGCTGCTGCTTGGAGGACTCCCTATTTCAACTTATACGTCCTTTTGACGACAGTGTATTTCATACCTCCCTGCACTGTTGCTTTTTCCCCTCTATTTTCCTACAGGTCTATCTACTCTGGCTTCCTTGTGTTCCAGCTGACTCTGTGTTCCCTGTCAGGGTTAATACAGAGCAAATCCTCACTAAAGCTGTTCTCTCTTCCACACACCGCTTGTGGATGTGTGTGCGTGTGCACTGTTAAGGTATTAGCACTTGGCTGACTCTGCTGAGTGTATTTCTATACTCCCGTAATGCCTTTCACCTTCTATAAAAATCCAAGTCAAAACAGCACAGACATATGGACATCTGTTCTTGTATACAACCTTATTATTAGGCGTAATTTTTCCCCGTTGTGTCAGTTTGGATTAGAATTGAATCTGATGAGTTTATTACAACAACAGGTGAAACGCACTGAAAAGCAGTTATTCATCTGCTTATAAAACGAGATTCTTTTGAGAGGTTTGAGTATTTATGTGGGTTTGACTTTGGCTAGTACAGCTTTTCTAAATGTTGCTGCAGACAGTGCACTCTGCCAATTTGCAAAAACTGCTTTTCTGGATTTCAAGGAACAGGGTGAAGAGGCATGAACCTGCTTACCCATCATCAAATGCAACTGCCATAGCAGTGAGGGGGTGGGTTCAGACAACAAGGCTGTTTAAACAGGTAGGGTGGCAACACTCTAGGTTTCCCAGATGAACTTTAATATTGCAGCTGATAGCTCCTGCTCCATTTATGAGATAACAAAAAGAACAACAGAAGACAATTCTTAAAACTAGATCATCCTGTTTTACTCAACTCAAGTAAAAACCTCTATTTCCAGTATTCTAGTACAGACGTGAAAATCTAAGGAATAAATACAACATTAAAACAGGAGACAATGTACCACAAGCCAAAAAAATATAATCTACATTTGATATTATCCATGTACCAGATGTTCTGTTGACTGAAAAAATAATGTATGATTGGATTCTAACTGATACCAAGAAACAAAACCTGTTACTGAAGCAGCAAATGATCAATTTAAAAAGATATCTGGAGATTTTGGAAAATGCACTTATTGGCTTTCTTGCAAAGGCTGAGATGAGATGACTGACACCACAGCTGTATCAGGTACACAGTAAACATGCAGCAGTTTCACCAGATTGCCTAACTTAGCACAGAAAGTGGAAACGGTTTTAAAAAAGTCCATCCAAATGAAACAAAACATAAGGTTAAAGCCATATTTCATTTACTTTGCTTTAATAAAAAAAAAAACAACAACAACAACAAAAACAAACTATTGCACAGAGTGCCATGAAAACTTTGTCTTGTCACACTTGTTTTTGTGCATGGATTGAACAAATAATAGAGGGGGTTGTTAAATCTTATTGTGCCCATTTTCAGCTATAGTATTTCTTATTTCATGACTACTACAACAGCTTTAAAGAATTCACAGCTATCCGACCTTTGTCTTGAGTTTCTGCTCTTTGCAAACACAAGGTTTTAACAGAAGGTGGGTGCAAAATATTCAGTGCTTTAGAGTGGCTGAAGCCTGAGCTTTACTTGTAAATATGCTGACCTCTTTATTTTAAACTTTGGGCATGTTAAATATGCACCTTTGAAACGAAATACATATTAAAAAAAAAAAAAAACCATCAAGCCTGTGTGTATTTCCAGCCTTACTGATAAGGTAGGTTAACCAGCTGTGGCTCTGACTACATATTACAACTTTCTGGAAGAAAGTGAATAGCTCCTTAAAGCCTGACACCAATATGTAACATGTTGTGATAATTTTGCGCTCATTACAGTGGGGAGCTTAATTTACCCCGACCTCTGTCCGATCGCTGAGAATCAGTTTGAACAGCAATATGACTGGGTCTTTATACTTATCATGTGAGCAAGTATCAAACGGGTCCAACTGAACCGAGGCCGCTGGATACAGTCTCGTAACCTACAGACACC